TTCATCAATACAACATAACGACGATTTTCATCGTAGCCAGATGTGGCACAGAGAAAATCCCCCGTCTCCTTATTTTGTAAGGCAATGGGACGTTGTCCCTCACCTAGATTGGCTTTAGCATGGGGCCACACAACCTGCCACCACTGTAGATTGATTTTATTCCCTGGACCAATCCAAAAAAATGGAGCTTGATTTTCAACATCGGCGTAGAGATACTTGAAACTCGAACCATAACGACTAGCTATGGCTATGAGACCGGAGTCGTTAAATTCCACCAAAAAATGACCATCGGAGTCTGTGGAATTCTTGTTTTTACTCCAGGTTAGTGGTAGGCGTCTGCTATTGTCGGGTCCATTTTCACGCGGAGCATATAGAAATTCCCAGTGGCCAAAATTTAAGAGGCCAATTGAAGATTGCCGCCATAGCTGGGAATAGAGCAGAATCAACTCTTGAGGCAATTGCTCTTTAAATCGATTTAAATCTTCTTTAAGATCTCCGCGTATGGATTTTGAATTTAAGAGTTTGGTAATGACATAAGCTAAGAGTGGCTTCAGGCGTGGGTTCTCTTCTATGTGAACTCTGTTCTCTCTTAAGAGCGATCTCAAAGCCAAAACTTGATTTTCTTCACTTCTTTGTTGCACAATTTGTTCGATTAGCTCTTCTTGGTTAACAAATAAATAAATCTCTGCGAGAGTACGCTGCCATAGTGCCTCCAAAATACGCTTATCAAATCGTGCGATCTCTTCCAATAAAAGCTCCAATTCAGTATTACCTCTCAGCGTCGATGTTATGAGAGCTTCTTCCAGCTGTTGACCTACAACTGCAATCAGCTTCTTACGTATCTGGTGTACGAACAACTGACTACAACGATCTTGATCGGCGACAAGTTTTTGCTGGAGACGCTTGTATAGATCAATCAGCTGCTTTGCTTCCAACTGGCAGTCGTTGTTGTTGGCATCAAGCCAAAAAGTTTGAAGGGTGTGAGATGTTGTTGGTTGTTTTAGGCAGAAACTTAATTCCGCACTGGGTGGCGAAGCATTGACAAATGTATGTGGTTGTTGTTGTCGGTAGAGGATGTTTAAAACTGAATACGCGATTGTCAAGCGAAAGAGTATTTTAGCTACCGCAATCATCTTCGATTGAGTTTAACTTTGGAACTGATCTGAGATATTTGGTTTTGAGTCAATTCATGAAGCTGCAATATCCTCTTGGAATACTGGAAGAAGAGCTGAGAAATATCGCAAGAAGGTCATTGTATTGCTCATTGAGTAGAGAGGCGTTATTAATAGGTGGCCTTTTGATGACAAGACTTTATAGTTATTTTTATCGCGTGGCGTTCTTTGAAGCCATGGTCATGGAGAATAGAATACAACAAATGTGAATCTTTCAAATAATATTTTTTGAAAGACCAACAAAAATGTTTTCTTTTTATACCCTACAACACTATGTGTTGGGGGCGTTATAAGTTTGATTGGGCCAAAAATTATGTAACACCACGAAATATTCGTTTCCCACATAGGAAAGTATATATGGATCTTCCTATCTCGCCGAACTGAGTCGATCTAGCTATGTATGTCCGTCCGTCCGTCTGTCCATGTTAATTTGTAATCACTCTACAGGTCGCAATTATGGCCCGATCTTCACGAAATTTAGAATGGAGGTGGGGCTAGGTTCAGAATAGAACCCTATTTCTTTTAGAGATTATCGCATAATATTTAAGGGTTGAAATGGACCAAAAACTGAAAAATATTATGATTTTGCAGTTGCTCTAAAGGTCGCAATTATAGACCAATCAAAGCGGAAGTTAGCATGGGGCCAGAGCTTATGGCTGGGCAGAAGCCTTCCAGTTTTAATGGTCATCGGGTAATATTTAGTGGGTGAAATAGGCCACAACATTTGTGTTAAATAAAAGTCAAATTTTCCTTTAAACCGTGAATATTTTTAATTCCGGCGAAATCACAAATAGACGAACAGGTCAATTCTGACCGTTACGTAGATGCCGATAGTAAATATATCGGATATATATATATAGCGTAATATATACAATGTGTATATACAAAGGAAGGCGATGTTAGTTAGAATGTTTATATCTCAAGAATGGCTGGACCGATTTTTACAAATTTTGTCAATTCAGAATGCCAATTTGACATAAAATCTAAAAAAATCGCAAAAAAATATGCCAATAATGATGTTAATATAGATTTTGTAGTATTTTGTGACATTTTTTTATTTTTTAATATTTTTTATCGCATGCGATTTTTTCAAATTTGACTTATAATATTTTGTAATATTCTTTCACCTTACAACACAGGTTGGGATATTATATAAGTTTTGTAAATATCGTCCGATCCTCAAGAACATTTTCACAAGGGTAGGGTTGGGCTCAGAAGGGCTAGGCCTATTGTTTTCAAGGATGTCCGAAATATAAATGGGGTTGAAATGGACCAACAACTAAAAATTTTCCTGATTTTGCAGCCGTTATAAAGGTCACAAATAGAAACCAAATTACACGAAATCTCGCAAGAAGTTATAGTTTAGGACAGCGGGTACAATATACCACTAATTTTGTGTGAAAAAATTCCAGAATTATTTACAGGCGCATCCGAAATACAGAAAAGGCGAACTTCTGTCTTTTTATGCTGATTTCATTGACGAATATAGCCAAATATTGTAGACAAGCAAATCATATAGATGAGTCTAAATTTGGAGATACAGAGGGTCTTCTTGCTTTTGGAGATGATTGCAAAATATTTAGGTGTTCAAATTAACAAAAAACAGAAATGTTTTTCCGATCACACAATTGAAGCCAATCGACACGCCTGTGAAGAGAGTTAGGGACACGGAAGAATTGTAGCATTTTGGATGACCATTGGATTATATTTAGCTGTAAAATGGACTACAACAACTAACAGCCCGACGGAGTGCATAAATGTTGGGCAAATGTCCCTAGTCAAAATCCTAAATCTTCTAATATGGATTAAATCGAAATCTTCCAATATGGATTTGAACATAAGGGGGCTTCTAACATATTGTAGTGTTGTGGGGTATAACATAGTCGGCCCCGCACGACTATAGCCTTTGCTTACTTGTTTTAAAATGTTAACAGAATTTTTTAAGGATTTTATTTTTTTAAATCTCCAAATTCGTTCCAAATGGTGGAGGGTATTCAAAAAAGTACTGCTTTTTAACTTGTTCGATATTTATCTAGGACTATGGACAACAAAACATGATTGTTTTTGATATTCTCTAGGACTAGAAAAGCACGGTATTTAAAAAAATATATTTTTTTCAAGGATTTTTAGAGCTCCAAAAGCAACTTTTTAACAGATTTGTTTTCAAGGATACAAACTAGGATTTCGATTATATCGGCATTTAAAAATTAAATATTTTCAAGGACTTTGAGAACCCCAACTGTGAATTTTTAACATGTAATTTTTCAAGGAAACAAACGAGTATTTTGATTATATTTTCAAGGACAATCGAGGATTCGGAAGGAATTTCTGAACCCTAATTGCAGTTCTTTTAACCAATAGTATTTTCAAGTAACCTAAATTAGTTTTTAGGCCATAATTCTGGAATTTTTCAACACCTTTTATATTTTTATTTAATATCTATAATTATTTATTGCAGAAGTGCATTTTCCCTCATTCCGCAATCTAATCAAATTAAGTCTATCCCACATTACCACATATACAAAGAGTTTATTTGTATACATGTTAATATTTGCCATTGAAAATTGAATTGAATTTCAAGTTGCCTGTTATTGGGATATTTGATTCGTTCGTTCGAGTATTTATCAAGACAAATTGGATTCGTGCACTGCAATGCAATTTAGTTCAGACATACACTCACATAAAAATTATTGATAAAAACGACATTCAGAATTATTATTGAATACTATCATTGATTAGGTTAAGCGAAATCAATTCAATTTGCATCGAAATATTTTTTTTCTTAAGTCTACAAAATTTTGTATTTTTTCTCGGGTGTAACAGCTAAGGAATTTCAAAGATGAAATAAACTAATACCACACGCTGTAAATTTATTTTGTAAGGATATGATGCTAGTAAATTTCTGCAAGAGATAAGTAAGTCAACATGTCCTCCTTCAGAGAGTACAAAGGTTTTAAGGGGAGAGATATAAAGAATCGGATTTTTTTTTTTTAACAGAAGACATCAAATATGTTTCTTGGAGCCCTTGAAGGTCTTCTATAGAAATAAAAGCCCTTGAAGGTCTTCTATAGACATAGAAGCCCTTGAAGGTCTTCTATAGACATAGAAGCCCTTGAAGATTTTCTATAGGCATAGAAGCCCTTGAAGGTTTTCTTTAGGCATAGAAGCCCTTGAAGGTCTTCTATAGACATAGAAGCCCTTGAAGGTCTTCTATAGACATAGAAGCCCTTGAAGGTCTTCTATAGACATAGAAGCCCTTGAAGGTCTTCTATAGACATAGAAGCCCTTGAAGGCCTTCTCTAGACATAGAAGCCCTTGAAGGTCTTCTATAGACATAGAAGTCCTTGAAGGTCTTCTATAGACATAGAAGCCCTTGAAGGTCTTCTATAGACATAGAAACCCTTAAAGGTCTTCTATAAACATAGAAGCCCTTGAAGGTCTTCTATAAACATAGAAGCCCTTGAAGGTCTTCTATAGACATAGAAGCCCTTGAAGGTCTTCTATAGACATAGAAGCCCTTGAAGGTCTTCTATAGATATAGAAGCCCCTGTAGGTCTTCTATAGACATAGAAGCCCTTGAAGGTCTTCTATAGTCACAAAAGCCCTTGAAGGTCTTCTATATAGATTCATAGATCTGAAGCTCTCTTTTCTTCACCCTACAGTTTTGCCCCCTACTGTAAGTGCATTGGACTTTCCATTAAAATACCGATAACATTGAATTATTAGACGAGCGTGGGGCCAAGTCGTTTAGATTAATGTATGTCAAATAACAAATGCTCCTTTTGTTTAATAATGACTTGGTATATTGTTGGCTTTACAATTTTGCGGACAAAATAGAATTCGGTTCTTCAGTATAAATTTTAAATTTCATCTGAGAATAACGCTTTCGGGAAAATCAACGGAAAGAAGTGAAAGAAAATGTTGCAATTATTATTAATTTTAATAACAATTTTTTTACCCATCTACTGGTGGTACAAGAGGCAATTTTCCTATTGGACCCAACTCAAAATGGTGCCCAGTGTGAGGGGCAGTATTTTCAGTGGATGTTTGCTGCAAGCGCTGCGCTTGAAGACAAATTTTGGTTATCACTTGAAGACAATTTACGGCAGATCGGAATTCGCCCATGAGCCGGTGGTTGGAATCTATGGATTGCATAAACATGCATTGCTGATAAAAGAGCCGGAGCTAATCAAATCGATACTTGTGAAGAATTTTGATAATTTTCATGATCGATTTCCTGAGCAAGATGTGCAATATGATCCAATTGGTGGCCAAGCCTTATTTATGGCTTCCTATGGTATCTGGAAGGAGATGCGCAGCAAATTGAGTCCCCTATTTACCAGTGCCAAATTGAGAACCATGTATGGACTCATACAAAATGTGGCCCAGAATATGGAGGGGTATTTGGAGAAGCAACCACGTGTCTTTTGCTGTGAAATGAAAGAGTTCTGTGCACGTTATACCATTGATATCATTTCCTCGGTGTTATTGGGATTTCAGTCGAATTCCTTGGAAAATCCCTCGGAGGAGTTGAGAAATATTATTCGAAAATTAACAGAATTCACCAGCAGGAGGGCATTTAATTTTGTCATTGCTTTCTTTGTGCCACATTTATCACGAGTGTTTAAATCGAAATTGTTGTACGAGGAAACGGAGAAGTTTTTGAAGACTTCCATTGATCAGGCAATCAGGGAGAGAAAATCAAGTGGTGAGACTCGAAATGATTTGATAGATATCCTGGTCAAGTTGACGGATGAGGTAGAGGAGAGTGGTCGAGATATGTCGCAATTTATGAATTGCCTATTGGGTCAAGTTGGCATATTGATATCGGGAGGATTTGATACCACAGCTACAACCATGTCAAATGTTTTATTGGAATTGGCCAAATGTCCGGAAATACAAAAACGTCTTAGAAAAGAAATTCACGAGTCCTTTGCTAGACATGGTGGCTCATCAATATCTTATGAGAATCTTAGTAAATTGGAATATCTGGATATGGTGGTGTGTGAGACTTTACGTTTATATCCGGTCTTGCCAATACTGCAGAGAAGATATAATAAGCCAGCCGGGACCATGGAGCAATATTCTCTGCAACCCTATTCAAATTTCTCGGTGCCGAATGATATGACAATGTTTATATCCATATATGGCCTACACTATGATTCGAGGGTAAGTTTTGTAAAATTGTAAAAGTGATTTTAGGCTTCGGAGACAAGATTTAGAATGGCAAGTGGAGATGCTGTGAAAAAAATTTCAAGAAAATACTTGATATACTCTTATATGAAAAAAGCAAAAATTGGACCGACATGACCGAACAATTCTTGAAAAAAGCTAAGACTGTCAATAAATTATCAAAGCTCTATATTAAATTTTGTACATGGAAGGACAGGGCTACATAGAGGGTTTAAAACTCGTAAGAAAGTATCAGTCGGTTTTGCCGACAGATGTATACAGTCAGTCAGTTTATTAAAATAAAATATGACTTGCGTTGTGATTATCAAAATTTTGACCCTTTATTGAAATTCCACTTAAGGAGTATGTCAATATTTTCCCTTTCGTACCTGGCCCAAGTCGAATATAAATATTACCACATGCCAGATTTGGAGTAGATTGACTTCTTCCTTTATATGCTACTAGTTGAAATATGTGAAATATGAAATCGGCAGAGAATATAAGGTGAATACAGGGTGAGGGCCGAGAATAGGGTGAGATAAAAAACAAACAAAATCAAACTCCATAATTTTTATATTTTGTCAAAATTTCTTTGAATGAAAGCAAAAAATGTCGGAAATAGCATCATATTTTACAATAAGTTTAGATTTGTTCGAATTGGTCACCTTTGGCACGAATTATGTCCTTCAAACCGCCAATGACATTGTCACAAGCTGCCCTAATGTTGTTTTGCGGTATTTTGGCCCATTCCCGGCGAATCGCTTGCTTGAGGTGATCGACACTTTGGTATTTCATAAGTGCCAACCTTGCTTTCCAAAATACTCCAGACACAATAGTCCAACGGATTGGTATCTGGAGATTTTGCTGGCCTTTGTTCGCTGGAAATGAAGCGAGGAACCTCATTTTGTATTCATTCTAAGGAGGCGCATGCTGAGTGCGATGGCACTGAGTCCTGTTGCTTTACTACACCCTCCAGAATATTTTCGCGATAGTATTCTCCATTTATTCTGATGTCACGGTCGATTAATACGAGCGGAGCGTGAAAATCAGCTGATATGGCGGCCCACACCATCACCATGGCCGATGTTTGAGTTCTGGTGGCCAACTGGAGGTGCCCATTTTCAGCTGACTTCTTTGGCAAGTTAACACGATCATTTTGTTTGTTTACGAACTGCTGGACAACGAATGTTTTCTCATCGGAGAAAACCAATTTCGGCAGTTCACCACTTTTGGCCAAGCGAAGCAACTCTTTAGCTCTTTTGAGTCTATTTTCTTTCTGTTGCGGTGTAAGTTCTTGCACTTTTTGGGATTTCGATGGCTTTACCCCGAACTCATTTTTTAATATTTGCCGAATGAAATATTGTGATATGTTCTGCTCACGAGCCACTTTTTGGCCACTGGGACACGGATTTCGATCAAGTCGCTCGATTAATACGAGCGGAGAGCGACCATCGGCTGTTATGGCGGCCCACACCATCACCATGGCCAATGCTTGAGTTCTGGTGGCCAACTGGAGGTGCCCATTTTCAGCTGACTTCTTTGGCAAGTAAACACGATCATTTTGTTTGTTTACGAACTGCTGGATAACAAATGTTTTCTCATCGGAGAAAACCAATTTCGGCAGTTCACCACTTTTGGCCAAGCGAAACAACCCTTTAACTCTTTTGAGTATATTTTCTTTCTGTTGCGGTGCAAGTTCTTGTATTTTTTGGAATTTCAATGGGATTACCCCAAGCTCAATTTTCAATATTTGCCGAATGAAATATTGTAATATTTTCAGCTCACGAGCCACTTTTTGCCACTGGGACACGGGTTTCGATCAAGTCGCTTCTTTACTTTTCGAATTATTTCTGCTGATGTGGCTGTTTACTTCCGTCCACTTTCTTGACGTCGGGCTACGCTACCAGTATCATGATACGAGACACAAAAGATTTATTCACATTTAAATGCTGGAGTGAGTGCTCTGACGATAGCCACTTGTGGTTTTCCAGCCAAATATAAAGAAATCACACTAACACGCTTGAATTCCATCGCGAATAACTTTTTTTCTGGAAAATTCTCACCAAAATACTTTTGTACGCTTGTACACAATATAATGAGCTTTCATTGGAATAATTTTAACAGCTGTCGGACGAGTGGCTTAGAAATGACAGCAGTCTGAAGTTGGTTTCAGTTTTTTCATCTCACCCTGTATTTATTTAGGTCCCACACGAAATGGACAATATTGACATATCTCGGATGTACCTGAAGAGGCTGGCCAATTTATATTATTAAAATTTGTATAGCAAAATTTAAAGTGAATCGGAGGTTTTTTTTGGCATGATAATTTTAACTCCTCTGTGTGGAAGATACTAGAAAGAATGGTCCAATATTTTCCACTTCACAACAGATCTTGTGTTTGTAGAAATATTGAGATATGTGAAATTTAATGCAAGAGATAATTATGCGAGATAATTATTGAAAAATTTGGCCCGTTGTGGGGGAGGCACCAGAAGGAATGGACCGATATATTTTATCTTCACACCAGATCTTGTATTGGTGAAAATATTGGAATGTGTAAAAATCGTAATATTATTGCCCATTTTATAGAAGTCATAATGATTCCAAATTTTGACCCTTTGTGGTGGAGGTACTTGATGAAGTCCGTTGATTTTGTACATTTTCGCACCTGTCCTAACACTGAAAAAAAATATTCGGATCTACACACAATGTTTTCCGAGAGAGAGAGAGTCACTCTCTCTCGATGTTCATGTCTGTGAAACATAACCAATCAAAGCTTTTGTATTGATAGTCTTTGGCTAGCCCTGCTTTAGATACGACACTAACATGAAAAGAGAAAATTTACCTTAAGTGAATAGAATTTTTCATTGGGTTGACATGTCCTAAAAACGTAAGTGGAATTTCGATGTTTTTTTCTGGTAAATACTCTTTAAAATACATTTCGATAATACCATCTTTTATTTTTCCAGTACTGGCCTGAACCTCTAAAATTCGATCCGGAACGTTTTTCACCCCCGAATAAACCAATGCTGCTGAATTCCATGACTTATCTGCCATTCGGTGCTGGTCCCCACAATTGTATTGGAGCTCGTCTCGCAATGTTGCAGTTGAAGTGCGGTTTAATACATCTCTTAAAACATCATTCGGTTCGAGTGTGTGATCAGACCGTGCTGCAACCGGAATTTGAAGCTAAAGCATTTATATTGAAAATTAAAGGTGGAACTTATTTGGAAATTGTAAAAGAGACTAACGAATACGGAATAGCGAAATAAAGCGATTATGTGATAGACTTTTTCATTCCATACACTATCTGGAATTTATTAACTTCGAATGTAATATTCTTAAAAAAATATTATACCTAGATATATAACTTATTCCGAGACTTATAGTAAAGGAGAAATAAAATTGTGATTAAAAATAATAATGTTGTTTTTCGGCAAAATTGATTCAAATATTTTGGTGTTATATATAATGTAAATATATGTTTTGATGTCATCCTCCTAAAAGTAAGTTATATTGAAATATTTTATATAAACTCAACCGGAGTGCCGCTTAAACCCTAAAACATTTTTTCACTATCAGCCATCTGGCTACAGAGGGTATATATCATCCGATGCGGCCAAAACGTGCCTCATCGAAATAACGGTTTTAGACCTTAGGTCTCATTGGACCAAATCCGTTTCAGGACATTCAGAGTCGATCTACAGGGAGAGATAACAAAACTGCAACAAAGTCAAACGCCTTAATTTTTACATTTTTTATACCCTACATCACAAGGAGGTCAGGGTATTATGGCTTTGTGCATTTGTTTGTAACAGACAAAAGGAAACGAGATAGACCCATAGTTCCTTTTGATGATCTGCATAGAATCACTTTCTGAGTTGATTTATGCATGTCAGTCCGTCTGTCCGTCCGTCCGTCCGTCTGTCCATGTATTTTTGTGAACAAAATGCAGGTCGCATTTATTATTCGATTGAGATGACATTTTCCAAACAACATTTGTTTGGCCCAAGGACGAACCCTATTGAAATTGGAGATAATCGGTAAAAATTTAGATATAGCTCCCATATATATCTTCGTCCGATTTGCCTTTTATTGTGCACCAAACGTGTAATATCAGCCCGAATAGTATGGAATTTTGCATATACAGTCAGAATAGGTCTGAAAATAAATATGCCAAATTTGATCGAAATCGGTTCAGATATAGCTATAGCTCCCATATATATTGTTCATCCGATTTGTTATTTTTGTCCTCCGCAGCCGTAATATGCACTCTGTAACAACAATATTTGGGGAAATATATCAAATGCAGCTCAGAAATACCTTTGCTAAATTTTATCGAGATCGGTTCAGATTTGGATATAGCTCCCATATATAACTTCGTACGATTTACCTTTTATTGTACACCAAACGTCTAATATTTGTCCAAATGGGATGGAATTTGGCACATACGACCGAATTAAGTCTAGAAGGTAGTATGCCAAATTTGGTGAAGATCGGTTCAGATATAGCTATAGCTCCCATATATATTGTTCATCCGATTTGTTGTATTTGTTACCCACAGCCGTAATATGCACTCCGTAACAACGATATTCAGGGAAATATATCAAATACAGCTCAGAAATATCTTTGCCAAATTTTATCGAGATCGGTTCAGATTTGGATTTAGCTCCCATATATATCTTTATCTGATTTAGAATTAATTTTGCACCAAATGGGCAATACAAGTCCGAAATTAAAAGATACAAATGCTTTGGCGTATTTAGTCCTTTAAATTTTAAATTATAATTATAATAATAGGGTGTATGATTGAATTCTCCTATAAAAACTTTTACTTGTTATGTGGAGCTCAACTAAATTAGCAAAGTGGTGTAGGGTATCATAAAATCGGCTCCGCCCGACTTTAGGACTTTCTTTTCTGTTTTTTTTTTTTAATTTTATAACACCATCTGGTGTTATGGCGACCCACACCATCACCATGGCCAGCGCTTAAGTTCTGGTGGCCAACCGAAGGTGGACATTTTCATCTGACCTCTATGGCAAGTAAACGCGATCATTTCGTTGGTTTACATATTGCTGGACAACGAATGTTTTATCATCCGAGAAACCCAAATTCGGCAATTCACCACTTTTGGCCAAGCGAAGCAACTCTTTAGCTCTTTTGAGTTTATTTTCTTTCTGTTACGGTGTAGGTTCTTGCACTTTTTGGAATTTCAATGGCTTTACCCCGAGCTCATTTTTCAATATTTGTCGAATGAAATATTGCGATATGTTCAGCTCATGAGCCATTTTTGGCTAGTGCAACGCGTGTTTTGATCAAGTCTGCATCTTTATTTTTCGAACCATTTCTGCTGATGCTGCTATTTTCTTCCGTCCACTTCCTTGACGTCGGGCTACGCTATCAGTATCACGGCAACGAGCGATGGTACGAGACACAAACGATTTATTCACATTTAAATGCTGGAGTGCTTTGACGATAGCCACTTGTGGTTTTCCAGCCAAATATAAAGAAATCACACAATCCCGCTTGTATTCCATCACGAATAACTTTTTTTCTGGAAAATTCTCACCAAAATGCTTTTGTACGCTTGTAAACAATATACTGAGCTGTCACTGGAATAATTTTAACAGCTGTCGGACGAGTGGCTTCGAAATGACAGCAGTCTTAAGTTGGTTGCAGTTTTTTCATCTCACCTTGTATATACCAGTCGACCAAGCCGACTGATACTTTTCAAATTATTTTTGTGATTTAAAAAAATGTATTTTATCGGACAGTGTAATTAGTGGGGTGACATGATCATTGATATTAAAATCAATTAGGAAATAATTTCAGCAACTGTTACAATAGAGTGCTTAATTGGAATACCAAGAAAACCTGGTATATGTGTGTGGAGTGTGAAAAATATATCCCAGGACTAGGATCGAAGATCACATATATTGGATGAACTTTTTGGTGTACGAGAGCGGTCATGTGCCCTTCCTTCTTAAAATTTGAGAAATATTAATCACATAGTATTATTTACCCTGCAACCAGGGCCGTACGCAGACTTGAGACCTAAGAGGGCTTAGGAATTGTTATACCCTGCAACACAATGTGTTGGGTTATTATAAGTTTGATTGGGCCAAAAATTATGTAACACCACATAGGAAAGTATATATGGATCTTCCTATCTCGCCGAGCTGAGTCGTTCTAGCTATGTATGTCCGTCCGTCAGTCTGTCCATGTTAATTTGTAATCACTCTACAGGTCGCAATTATGGCCCGATCTTCATGAAAATGGAGGTGGAGTTATGGTCAGAATAGAACCCTATTTCTTTTGGAGATGATCGCATAACATTTAGAAATGGACCAAAAACTGAAAAAAATTCCTGATTTTGCAGTTGCTTTACAGGTCGCAATTATAGACCATATGGGGCTAGAGCTTAGGACGGTGCAGAAGCCTTCCAATTTTGATGGTCATCGGGTAATATTTAGTGGGTGAAATAGGCTTCAGCATTTGTGTTAAATAAATGTCAAATTTTCCATTAAACCGCGAATATTTTTAGTCCCGGCGAAATCACAAATAGACGAACAGGTAAATTCTGACCTTTACGTAGATGCCGATAGTAAATATATCGGATATATATGCGAAATTTATACAATGTGTATATACAAAGGAAGGAGATGTTAGCAAAAATGCTTATCTCTCAATAATGGCTGGACCGATTTTGACAAATTTTGTCAATTCAGAATATCCTCTTGACATAAAAGTATAAAATCTAAAAAAAAATCGCAGAAAAATATGCCAATAATGATGTTAATATAGATTTTTTAGTATTTTGTGACATTATTTTTATTTTTTCATATTTTTATCGCATGCGATTTTTTTCAATTTGACTTATAATATTTTTTTTTAATATTTTTTCACCTCACAACACAGGTTGGATTTATTACATAAGGATTGCAAATATCGTCCAATCCTCACAAAAATTTCGCAAGGGTAGGGTTGGGCTCAGAAGGGCTAGGCCTATTGTTTTCAAAGATGTCCGCAATATATTAGGAGTTGAAATGGACCAACAACTAAAAATGTTCCTGATTTTGCAGCCGTTATAAAGGTCACAAATAGAAACCATAGGACACGAAATCTCGCATGAAGTTAGAGTTTAGGACAGCGGGTACAATGGACCATAAATTTTGTGTGAAAAAATACCAGCATTACTTACAGGCCATATCCGAAATACACAAAAGGCGAACTTCTGGCTTTTTTATACCGATTTCGTTGACGAATATAGCCAAATTTCGTAGACAAGCAAATCATATAGATAAGTCTCAATATGGAGATAAAGAGGGGCCTCTTGCTTTTGGAGATGATCGTAAAATATTTAGGGGTTCAAATGAACCAAAAACCGAAAAAAATTCCTGATCACACAATTGATGACAATCGACACGCCTGAGAAGAGAGTTAATGACAGCGAAGAATTCTCGGATTTTGGATGACCATTGGATTATATTTAGCTTTAAAGTAGACCACATAACTAAAAGCACGACGGAGTGCGTAAACATTGGGCAAATGTCCCTGGTGACATAATTTCAAAAACGAAATCTTCCAAAATGGATTTGGACATAAGGGGACTGCTAAGATATTTTAGTGTTGTAGGGTATCACATGGTCGGCCTCGCACGACTATAGCCTTTGCTTACTTGTTTTTTTTTGTACTTTGCATGGAAAACGTTAAGTTTTTTCTAGTTGGGCGCCACTTTCAAATGTATTTGAAATGCAATCAGTTATTATTCTGAAAAAAGAATGACAATGGCCTTTTACTTGTTTTCCGAATAGTAAAATGTGTTCAACTTAGAGAGGACCTTTTCCATTTCTTATAAACGGATTTAATAAAAAAGTACTTTTCATGCATCAGTGTAATTTTGGCACATAAACATATCTTCTATTTATATTTATATATATATAACAAATAATTATTGTTGTCACATCAGTTACTAATAATTAGAAATAATGAATTTTAAATTGCCATTTATTTATTTTATTTTCCGTAAGAAGGGGTAATTAAAACAAATAATAATAAAATACAAATTAACTGATTGTCTGAAATTACCTTTATATTGACACATACTCGAATATATGTAGATGTGTATGCCTGTGCCATGGTATTCCCTATATTATATTCTATGGTACATTACATTAGGTCTTTTTATACCCTCCACCTTGGAAAGGAGGGTATATTAACTTTGTCATTCCGTTTGTAGCATCCTTAAATATTCGTCGTGGTCCCCATAAAGTATATATATTCATAATCAGCATAAAATTCCAAGTCGATTTAACGATGTCCGTCTGTCTATCCGTCTGTCTATCTGTCTGTTTAAATCACGATACAGCCCACATTATTGGACGTAGAGCACCAAAATTCAGCAGAGCAATTTGTATTGTGTC